ATATTGGCTTGTCAGGGTTTACTATCACTGTACGCACACACGCACACACACACACACACACACACACGCACACACACTAATCAATCACTGCCTCTTTCTGTCTTTTTCCCAAATGAATTTGATTGTTTCAGCATGTCATTAATATCTGTCTCCTCTACACACACACACACACACACACACACACACACACACACACACACACGCACACACACGCACACACACACACACAGCCTCTCTCTCATTCTCAAAGCACTTCTCCTGCATTTCTTCTCGATTTGCATTGTTTTGCGTGCACAAAAATCATCTGTATAGAACATCAGGAGTAAAATATATGTACAGCAGTGATAATTATCACTTATATTATAATTATACACATCTATTGTTGAACACACACTTCACAAACTCACTACAAACCAACACAAACTCAAAACAGAGCAGCTATAGCTGACAGCCCCATCCTGAAAGTAACACTACACACACTCCGGTGAATAGTAGCAGCAGCAGAGCGATGCAGCAGAGTGTGTGTGAGTGTGTGTGTGAGTGTGTGTGTGTGTGTGTGTGTGTGTGTTACTCACACTGATGTCACTCATCAGCATCCAGCGGCTCTCTGGGTGATCATTCTCATGGTCACAACGGTCAGCATCAGCACAAATAGTCACTCCGGGATTTCCGTCCCGTTCTGATCTCTCCGTTTATCCTGCGCTCGTCCCTCTGTTTCTCTGATCTGACCCTCCCTCAGCAAACACACGTACACACGCGCACACACACACTGCTCCGAGAGCCAAACCCACTGAAGAACCTGCACTCGCTCGCTCAACCACCCTCCTCTCTCTCTCTCTCTCTCTCTCTCTCTCTTTCTGTGTGTGTCAATTCAGTACAATTCAGTTCAATACAATTGAGCTTTATTGTTTTGATGTCTTGAAGAAGATCTATTCTGCTGCTTTTTATAAGATGTGTCTCTGCTGTTTCTAGTGGATGTGTGTGTGTGTGTGTGTGTGTGTCTCAGTTTGAGCTGAGAATTGCACACAGATACTGTTCTCCAGCTCTCTGAAACTGACTCTATCAGGCTTTGATCCTAATTGTGGCGTTTTGGCGACTGTCGCTTTAAATGCAAATCAGATTGTGCTCCTTTCGGAAGAGGGCGGAGCTACAAATGCCTATGCATCAGCGTAGTGGCAGATGTAAAACAGCACTAGTGTTCTCATGCTTGTGTCAGTCTCTGTCGCTCCTGTGTGTGAGTGAATGAGTGTGTATGGTGTTTCCCAGTACTGGGTTGCAGCTGAAAGGCCATTCACTGTGTAAAACATATGCTGGAATAGTTGGTGATTCATTCTGCTGTGGCGACCCCTGATGATTAAGGAAGTAAGCTGAAGGAAAATGAATGAATTATTATTATTATTATTATTATGAGCTGTTGTGTCAAGTATTGCCAAAGCATTGCGCATTATATAAACAATGAAATAAGTGATGATTAGTCACAAATATACATACATAAAAGTTTTTTAAAAAGTGAAACTTTGGTAAATATATAGACAAACAAGAAAAAGCAATAGAATCTGGATGCAGCCTTTATGATGCAAGCTGGGATTGCATCACTCAGCGATGCGATGTCAGACACAATGCACTCAATGGAGTGAGTGATGTCACTGTGATGGGTAGGGTTAGGGGTGGGGTTATGTGAGCGCATTAAAAAGCATTGGATGCAGCTCTGATTGCACCAAGTCTGCAGCCAGACCCCTCCCAGAAAAAGACCAGTATGACGAAAAAATGAAAAAATAACGAATAAATAAATAAAAACTATTTTTTTGTCAGCCAAACGAGAGGGTAAAGTCTAGATCAGATACGCGGCCGGCCAGAAGTGCGATATGCACATTAATACAGCAGCATTTTTTATGACACTCTATAACAATAATTCATATTTTACAGTGCTGTGACGGGTTGGGGTGGGGGTAGACTTTATTAAAATACAATTTATTGAATAATTTAATAGATAACATAAATAATACTCGGTGTTTTTACAGTACTGTGACGGTTGGGTTTACGAATATAATCTCACGGCAAATTCGTAACTTTTTGATTTAGTGGCTAATTCATATGATTCAATTCGTACAATTTAGTACCATTTGCTCATCCGCCAATGTTGGTTGGGGTTAGGGGTGGGGTTAGATGCCACGCCTCCTTTTTAAAATCGTACAATTTCGTACGACTGAACTTGTATGAATTTGTACGAATTAGCCACTAAACTGACAAAAGGTAAAATACTTACGTTTTCTCGTGAGATCAGGCTGGGTTTAGGGTTGGGGTGGGGGTAGATGTTAATAAACTAGAATAAATGGGAAATTTAATCAATTTAATAGATCTAGCAACAACCGATCGAGAGAATCAAAGTAAACATAAAAGGATGACATAAAGCACACCAAAACAAAAAGACACATCAGGTGGTTGCTAGGGTGTTCCTATTCCACGGATAAGATGTTGTGAGTGGTTGCTAGTGTAACGAAGGCCAGCTAGTGTGTGCTGTGCAGGTAAACCTCACTCCACTAGAGCACCTTTAGAGGTCAAAGTGAGGTTCACCTGCACAGCACACACTAACTGGCCTCCGTTACACTCACCCCGCTACACCTCACTCCCATCCGGGTCATGGCACCATTGTAACACCGCCAGTCCTACACCACCCAACCCGCTCTGAGCTGGTTTCAAACCGGCAACCTTCCGCATGGGAGTCGGTTGCTCTAACAAGGAGGCTAAAGACCATGACCTCTAGCATATGTCGCTAGAGCACCTTTAGAGGTCAGAGGAGTGAGGTTTTACCTGCACAGCACGCACTAGCTGGCCTCTGTTACACTCGTGAGGGTGTGACAGTATGCAAATTTAATTGTGTGCACATGCAGTGGTTTAAACAAGAATGCAGATGAAATATTCAGTGCAGGTATTGTGGCT